TGCCATTCATTTATTTAGTGCCTCTTCTATGTAACCTAAAGCTCGTAGAATGTTTGGCTCCATGGAGGTTGCATTAAATCATCTACAGTTCCAAAGCTCTATATGCCAATCACCAAGGAGCAGGATTTAAATAAGCCATTAAGGAAACTCAAATCTTATAACACTCGCAATCAGCTTGGGCCTGAAATTAGTTCTCCCCTTCTCTTCTCTGTAGTCTGAAGTTCAATACAATTTTTGCAAACCCCATGATGTTGTAATGAACAGATGCCCAGGAAGACTACAAATGTCCCCTAATCCTCACACTATGACTGCTTAGATTGCCGAGTCATCATGGAGACAGTGCTCAGGACCTTCTGTTTAAAAAGCAAAGCTCTCTACCGTGCAAGAGAAATGAGATTCTCCAGTAGCTGTAGTATAATTAAAATTTCTATTCTACATGGGCCTCCAGACACTAGAGGGCAAAATAATCACACAGCAGGTCTTGGGTAGGTCTGGCATTGCATGCCAGAGGAATGCCAAAGGCATGTCCAACAGGTCTGTGAAATGCAAGCGTCCAGTGATGCACAAACCCATTCTGGAGGGCACAACTAGTCATGTAATGGGAAGCAGTGGCTGCAGCCTCTACTACAGCCTCTGAGCTGTAGTAACAATTGCAGTAAGGCTGCCAAGGTGTTCCACACACTGCCTCAGGAGTAGAAGGAAGTGTGACAATATCCACTGGTGCTAATTACGTGGTGCTAATTTCAAGGGGGATGAGGTTTGCCCCAAGTTAAGGGTCGAGTGATATCACTGTGGCTAGAAGCAGTTAATTCTATTCAGAAGCGCTTTTATGATAGTATTCTTCCATCACTGAAGGGAGAGGAAAAGTAGTCCCCCTAACGGACTGCTTCTCCAGTAAGTACAGGGCTATTGGTCCTACCATGGGCTGTGACTTTAAGAATTTTCATAACAAGAATTTAGCAGAGGATACACAGACTCATACAGAAGCTACAGAGAAATGACACAATCTCTGAGGCACTCTGATACCATGGTGATGAGTGTGGTATAAATAACTAGCTAGAATGATGGATTCAATCCTTTTATCCAAACCCTTGCAATTCCCATTTAAAGGCAGAGAAAACAATCAAAAATGCAAAGCAAAGGTACTTAGACCAGTTGAATTATTATTGTTTAAAATCAGCATAGAGCCATTGGCTCTTGCCAACTGTTTAAATTTCTGATTAATTAGCACAACACTTTGTAGATGAAAAGCACTATACTAAATATAACATTTCTCTCTTTTTTTCCCCAGAAGTTAGTTGGATTTTACAGAAAAAGTTTGGTTCTTCCTACTTTTATCAGGCACAGTATGAGCCTCACAAAAACAAACAAAAATCAATGATGCTCCGCAAGGATTGAAGAAGGACCTTGGTTCATAAAGGTGTCTCCTGAGCACTCTTTTTACCTTAGAGCTGTTCCAAACCAAAATTGGAAATGTACACAATACCTTTGGAAAACATACTATTAGTAAGCCAGCTTTCGATCTTTGCATTGGTAACTCATACTGATTGCAATAAGCAGAGGAATATAATACACATTTTCTCAAATATTCTCACTTATTGAAGGCTCCCTTAGAAACCTAGGGACGTTCCCTATTTCATCCACCTGATGTCAGCCAGCAACAGATGTCCAAATGGACTCAAGTTGATCTGAGTAGGATTGTATAGTTAACCAACCTCTGAGCCACTTCAGCTCTACTCTAGGCAGTCATTTGCCCTTACTAAATGTACCAGTGATATGCAAGGTTAAATGTGGTGGGACTTCGGGAAAGCTCATTTCTTTCCCTCATCACATGTCCAAACTGCCTCCTTCTCCTCCCAGCCCTCCTTTCAGCCTGTCCTGTTCAGCTCCCTTGCCCTGACCCTGATCAAAACTCTTGCCCCTTAGTGATATCTGACTCAGGGTGCACATGTACATGGGGGGCCACTTGGGGCTTGGCACAGTCCTCTAGGCTGTTCCCCGCAAGATTGTTTCTCTCTTCTACTTCCTCTGAAATAGTGGCCAGACTGGGGCCAGACCGATGGCCAAGCTGAGAGGGTGGAGATAGGCTAGCGGGTTGCAAGTATGCAGCAAATCTTGCACACTCAGTAAGACTGAAGGAGTGTAGAGGATGAAGGAGATCGGCAAAGAAGAAAAAAGGCAGAAAAAGCAGAAAAGGAGAAACAATATCCAAATATCCTACCAAGCCTGCACAACCTGCCTTGAACATCAAGCACACTTCCCTTCAGTCTCCGGCTGGCTTTGGCCCACTCTGAGGCAGACTTTTCCTCTGAAAAAAAAGATCTGAGTCAGGTTCAAGGATTGGGCCATTTTTTACTTGACCTTTCTCCTACTATGCCCAGTTCCTTTCCTTTCTATCCATCTATTTAGGGTGCTTGGATGGCCCCTATTACCATAGTATCCGAGCACCTCACAACATTTAATGTATTTCTTCTCAAAATACCCTCAGGAGGAAGGGGAGTAGCATTAATGTAATTTTTGCAGGTGGAGAACTGAGGCACACAGAGTCTAAAACACAGATTTTTAAAGGCATTTTGGCATCGCTGCACGCAGCGTTGCAGTGCCTCACTGATTTAGGAGCCTAAATTTCATTTTCAAAAGGAATTTAGGATCTTAGGAGCCAAAATCCCATTGACAGTCATTTTCCATTCTCTCTGGGCCAAGCAGAGGCGACATGCGTGGGGGGGGGGGGGAGAGAGAGGGGGTGCAGGGTCACGTCCCCAGCCCCAATTTGCTGCTTGGCTTGTATTGAGCATGCTCACACAGACTGAGCATGCTCAGTAACACTGCTGAAGCCGGCTGCCCTCACTCTGCTGCCCTCACTCTGCTCCCCTTCTCCCCCCAGCCACTATCGGCAGGCATTGGTCATCTCTGGGGCCAAGTGTAAAGCTCTCGCACAATAGCACGGTGTGCTACTCACACATAAGCCATCAGACCATGGGCCACAAGCTCAATTGGTATAAATCAGCAGGGATTCACTGACACCAGTTTAAACCAGCTAAAAGTCTGGCCAAGGCTGAACACTCCCGTTGACAGAAACACCAATATTTTTAAAAGGATGGTACCAAGTTTAATGGAAAAGTCCACCAAGGAAATTTGTGAAACTTGCACATCTAGACCATTTAAGGCAATTACCTTTTCTCTTTTCTACAATTTCATTTCCTACAGGGTCTAGTGCAGGGGCTTATTGATTCCATGGGGAACTGAGAGCCTTGACATTTAATCCTATCAGGGGAAAGCAGCTAAGAATAACAATTTCACCTACAAATCAAAGTTGCAGAGTTCTCATTCAAACTGAATAATTCAGACAGATTTAACAAGCCAACTTTAAAAAACAATTATCAAAACATTGGCTCTTTCAACTTCCTTTATCTTTTTAAGGTGTGGCTAATATAAAATTAGGATCAGAGCTTCCCATTTGAGGGACCTATATTGGGACATTAGTTTGGCACCTCTAGGTCACCTTGTTTGAATCTCTTACAGTTGGGTATGGAGACCCGAAGTTGCCACCTTCAATGACTATTTGGCAACATATGTAAAATGAGTTCAGTGGTCTCACTCCAAAGTAACTGTCCATATCATAATTGTTACTAACTGTTCCCTACTTAGTGTCTGACTCAGCAAAAAGGATTGCATAGGCCTAGACCAGGGGTCGGCAACGTTCGGCACGCGGCTCGCCAGGGTAAGCAGACTGGCGGGCTGCGCCAGTTTTATCTACCTGCTGACACGGCTGGTTTGGCCAATCGCGGCCCCCACTGGCCGCGGTTTGCCATCCCGGGCCAATGGGGGCGGCGAGAAGCTGCGGCCAGCACATCGCTACTGTCATTATAAGATCTTCCAATCCTTTAATTAATAATAATCCTTTAATTAATAATAGATAATGTTGTAATAAACTCAATACCTGATCTTTCCCAAGCTACCCTGTGGAATAAACCCTAATCTCGGCTATGACGATTCAGCTGCATTTGTTGTCAGGAACAGACAAGATATTTTGACTCAGTATATCCTTTTGGAGATTGAGTTTGGACAGTTGGATCATACAGAACAAACGAGGGACTCTCCTAGGAATAATAAAAGATTGGTATTCAAGTACATTGTATAACCAGTAAAATGGCAGAAAAGGACATACAGAGAATCAAAGAATGGTTGTGAGTGGCTCCTTAGTTATGTTAGAATTTTACCTGTTTACCAGACTAAAAGCTAGATCCAAAGCTCACGGAAAAGATTTTAGTTGACTTAAATGGGCTTTCGATCAGGCTCCAGAACCTTGGCTTAGCCAGCCATTGTCTATGCCATTCAAAAGTATGTGCCTAGCTTGTAAGGGAACTGGATTGTTCAACTTATGCATGGTGGAAGGAGAGGCAGTCAGCATCAATACGTCAGGGCCCACCACTTGCACCTTATCATTAAGGTGCTGATGAAGGAGCCTGAACTACCCAACAAAAGGTAAAAGAACTGGTCATGCTATTGTGGTTGGAACCACAAGTCTATGATATTCCTAAAGGCAGGCAATTTAAATACAAAGTATTCACACCACACAGTACTGAGCACAATGTGTTCCCGGTCCACGACTGCGGCTCCCAGATGCTGCTGCAATACAAATAATAAATAGGGAAGCTCTGGAGGGGTATTGAGCTTTTCACATTAATGCGAGGTTATCAGACTGGTCTATGCAGCATCAGGCATCCTGGCCTGAACATATGGGCATCTGTCTGGCAACTACTTAAAACCTTCACTGCTCATCAGTGCTATTTGGGAGAACTGGTGGGAGTGAGATTGGCGTCTTGACTGGACCCATCCTCCTGGGTCATTTCATATTATGTCAGGCCAAATTCTGCTCTCAGCTATGCAGGCATAAGCATTCCCACCCTAACGAAGTCTATGAGGGAATTAGTCACATGAAAGTAATTATGGTGGGAGACGGGGACAGCTCTCCTGCCCAGCTTTCAGCAACCAAAGGGGAGGCAGAAGAGCAGAGGGCAAGGATCAGCCTGAGGCTACTTCTTTGCAAAGGGTTCAGATGTTTCCTCCTGACTCTCCTTTTCTGGTAGCCTATCAATTCTTTAATTGCCGTGTTCTAGAAGGAAGGAAACTAGAACTGAATGGGAAGGAATGGAGGGATTTCCTGGTTGGCTATGAAGTCCAAGAGCTCCCTGGAGATTCCTGGTGCCAGCCAAAGCCCGCTGCTGGAAAAATCTGGAGGAACACAGCAGAGATCTGACCAAAGACTTCTTGGAATGCTGAAGGAGGCCAAAATTGGACAACCGGCACCGTACTGAGGGCTTCAAAGGGCAGGAGGGAAAAGGAAGGAACAAGAGAGTAAGAAAGAAGGTATACTGCCAGACACCTCATGTGCATGTGGCATCATGCTCCTGGGGGGTTGGGAGGGTGGAGGGTTTGTCCCCCCCCCCCAACTTTGGTGGCAAAACTACTTCTTTGGTTACCCCCATGTCAGTGAGTACAAAACATGGCTAGTTATCTTGACACTCACTGTGTGCTGCATTTTTGGATTTAATGTTAAATCTCTTTTTTCTTCTATCTCATAGGCAAGAAGAGTACATTCTGGTGGTTAAACCATTGATCTGGGGTTCAGGGGATTTGAATGTTTTCCCCAGTTCTGCCACAGACTTGCTACGTAGGTAAATTACTTGGCCTCAGTTTTTTCTTGTGCAAGACAATGATAATAATGTTTATCTCTCAGGGGTGATGTGAGGCTTCATTAACATTTGTAAAGTGCTTTGACTCAAATGAAAAGTGTTGTAGAAGTGTAAAGTATCATTAGGCAACTGGCCTCCTTTTGTTCTCTCTTAGAATCCAAAATGGTTAGCTTCTCGGGTCTCGTAAACTCATCCGACAATCTGTTTCTTCACTGCCTGTAGGGTTGCATAGAAAAATCACCCCTTTCCCATATTATTGGAAGCTCATATCAGAAGCCAATAGTGAAAATGACAAAGATGAGCCCCTCCTCACCTCTGCCATTTATTTCCAGATTTCAGGCCTTCACTGAAGTGTGTTAAAGTGCATTCCCTATTACCCAATGTTAAAGGTCATTCCCTATTACCCAACTGACATGCACTGCTCAAAAATTATTTCATTCATTAGTAGTGCATTTCCAAAACCAGTCCTTTTTATGCTGCCAAAGAGTATGTGCCATAAAGCAGTTGTGAAAAATACTTTGGCAGACATAAAACAGCCTCTGTTGGGATGCACTAAATATGTCAAAGTGAACTCAGATGGTCCTTTAGCTCAGTAGAAGTGGCATCATGGTGAAAGGCACATTCTTCTCCTAGCAAGCAAGAATAATGGCTCAAACACTTAAAGACTCCACCTTATTTCTCCCTTGTGAAACGAAATGTAGATTTTACTACCCAACCATTTAAGTCACTCTGTTTATGGTTTGCATAATTTTTACTCTTTCCAACTATATTTCACTTTTAACAACCTCGAGAGTTTATCATCTGATGTAGCTAGTGTTTGAAATTTGTTGTATAAAGACATCTAAGAAACCACAAGCCAAAGGGTAGGCTTACTATCCCGGAAGCTTTCAGGACCAGTTTTTGCCATTACCTCTGCAATGCCTCCTTTATGCACTCTCCTTGGTCCTCATTCTATCCCTTGTACAAATTTGGTTAATCCCTGGTTTTGGACAAGAGTCACAAAACAATCCAGACAGCTCATATACTAAATCTACTGCAAAGTATGATTTCCTGAACATTTCAAAGATGAATTACAGTCCTAGTCTAATATATGATTTAAAAATAGGAAAAAGAGAGAGAGAGAGAGAGAAGAAAAGATGGCTGACTGCCAGAGTTTTGTGTTAACTTGAAGTGCAGAGGTGATTTTTAATGCTTCAAACATCATTCATGAAATATTATATATGTAATTTGTACTCACAATAACATGCAAGCTCTCCAAGGAAACATTGAAATAAATAGCTTCTTTAACTCTTTTGTACCTTGATCCTATCTTATTTGGATGAATCAATAAAAGAGGGACATAAGATTGATGGAGGACAGATCAGTAGGGCAATCATGTACTTTATTACATATTTATGAGTCTGGAAGATCAAAGGATGTTTTTATGCACATAACTTGGCAAATGTGTTTTGCCACATTCAGATATATTCCAAGTGACTTTAGCAGGAATGTGAAAGGAGCTGGCATGCTGCCCACAGTGCTATTTGGTAAGACTTTGAATGATGGTGGGATTAAAAACCAATATAATAAAAACATACACGGCAGAATGTTTATACATGCATGCAGTATATACACATACATAGGTGTGCCTTTATAATGTGTGTATATATGGCATCTTACGTACTGTGTTTTATATAGACACACAAACTCAGAAAATAGGGCCCTTATGCACCATTCATTTAAGTTATTGGGAGACTTGCATTTTGCTTCAATGGCTGTTGAATTAGGTCTGTGTTGCAAAGAAAGGAAAGAAACTGCAGTCGTACAACATTAGGTTACAGATTGCATGCTCAAACATCAGGAAATGAAAAAGTTTGCCTAGTAACATTAACTAACCAGCATCAGTTGAACGGTTACAGCTATAATGTGTGCAATAAGGGGGAGCTGATGTCGCTATTACTATCAGAACTGTCACTTTTTCCTGAATATGCGAAAACTTAATGTTTCCTGATCTTAGTTTTATGCATAAAATATGTGTCTTTGCCTTTTTGTATTGGGGGAGGAAGGAAAGGAAAGTGGTGGAGGGGCCCTCCCTGTGCATAATAAAGCTAGAATTTCAACGCTTTGGAGGTCCCAGTCTCAGTGAGGTGAAAGGGTTTGGGGATGCTGAATTCCCACCTTTGTGGAAGAAGGCTCTCCAGAATCTTACTTCACACCATCATATGCACACAGTGCAGGAAGCTTTGCCTACTAGTCATGGACTTTGTTTTGAAATTATTCAGACACATTTAATTCATTGTCTTGATAACAGGACACAAAACTCTGCCAGGGACACAGTCATTGTGGTTCCTCGAAAAGGATATAAGTTTTGTGATTTAGCCACTGGACTGGGACTCAGGAGATCTGGATTCAAGCCCCATATCTGCTACAGACTTCCTGTGTGACCCGGGACAAGTCACTTAGGCCAAAATGTTCAGAAGTATCCTGCGATTCTTGGGTACTTCAATTTTTGGGAGCCCCAATTTCAACCACCACAGTTTTCAGTAGTGCTGATCACCAGCACCACTAACAGAAGTCAGTGGGAACTAGAGCTTGTAACCACCTCTGAAAATCAGGACAAGGGTAGGCTCCAAATATGGAGGCACCGAGCGTCACTGGCCATTTTTCAAAATGCTGAAATCTCTCTGTGCTTCCGTTTCCTATCTGTAAAACTGAGATATTTCCCAACCTCATAGGGGTGTAGTGAGAAAAAAAAAATCAGATATTATGGGGAGAGAGAGATAGAGATAGAGACAGGCAGATAGACAAAGAAAATATCTTCTTAAAATTGTAAGGCAGCAGGACTGGTATCACTCTTCAGTTATTGTTTAAGCTTCTGGGTTTTTTTTATTATTATGTAGTAGTTCATAGTAATTTTTGACTAGGTTTAGCAGAATTTGATTGACTCAAAGATGCTGTAGACGGCTGTCATAATGTGTTAATATATACAGTATCTGCCAACACCATGAAGGGAAACATCAGGATATTACCTGCAGCTACTGAGGTGGGGGGGGCTTGGGAGTTCTCACTACTTGAAAGGTGCTACCAACATTTAGAATAAAATGTTAATGAAAATAAAGCTATTGATTCACGCACTGGTTATTAGAATCCCAGAAGCAGAGAGATTAGAGATGGACGAGACAGATTACTTATCATGCTGACTAATATTGTCTCATTGTTTCCTTGTATTCCTGTCTGCCTGCCTGTCGGTATCTATCTGGTGTCTCCTGATACTTAGATTGTAAACTCTTCAGGTCAGGAATCATCTTTTTCTTCTGGGTTTGTACAGCACCTAGCACAGTGGGGTCCTGGTCCATAATGAAGGCATAAATCCTGCATTGGCAAGGTCCTAGGGTAATTAATAAATATATAATAAATCATCTTCATCATCATCTACTCTATCCCCTTGCCAATGCAGGATTTCTGCCTACAATATATTTGCCACTGCTTTCACCATACTAGTTTTAAATATGCTAAGCAATAGAGCATCCACTACTTCTCCTGAGCGATTGCTTGACAGTACAGTAAATCTCACTAACAAAACTTTTTTTCTTAAACTGAATCTTAGTTTTCCTTTCTTAACTGAATCCTATTTCTCCTTGTTATGAGGCTCTCAATAATTATATGGCCTTGGTGTTTATTCAGATATTAACAGGGGTTCTCATGGCCCATACTAGACGGGGTTAGCAATTTACAAGACATAGTGAGCTGTTTTATTCATTTCTCATAAATTACTCTTTCTAGGTCCCTGATCATCATCGTCTTGTTTTCCTCTGCCTCCTTTTTTTGTCTCTGAGTTGCCTCCTCTTTGTCAATGTCACTGTCATTGAGGTACTCAGAAATGAACAGTGTTCCAGCTATGGTTGCACATGGTTATGTCTATGCTAGACCTTTTTAGGAATTTCTCTCTCACTGCACTGACGCCATAGCAGCTTCACCAGTGGCAGTGCAAATAGACGTTAGTATAGACCTGGCATAGCTATTTTTTCCACCATGTTAGTTATATGGACTGATATGTGACTATTTACTTTTTTCCAAGCTTTACTTTACTTGTTCCTTATCAATAGATATTTTTACAGGGGTTTCCTTATTGTCTCAAGTACAAATTCAGCAAAGTATTTAAGGGTGTGATTAAAGTTGAGTTTATGAGTAGTCCCAGTGCCTTCTGGCACATGCGTAAGTGCCTTCCAGAACTTTAGCATGGGCTTAAGTGCTCTGATGAGTCAGGGTCTAATTCTTCAAACATCTTTTTTTTAAATAGAACAAAAAACAAAGCATCCAATCAGTTGTACTCAGAGGATTCTAGAGATTGCTACCCATGGATAGTAAGTCTGTTATTTTCAAGAACTACTGATAGCTTTGAACCAAATGTTTATTAAAATAACATTACAAAAAAAAAAAACCCCACACCCCTAATTTCTTCCACAAACCACACCCAGATCTTTCCATGTACTCCCAGAGCTCAGTAAACAACAGTGTTATGAACTAGTTGGGGGGTCGAAAAGCATAAAGCCGCACTGAAAATATAGCAAATCTAAATATTATATGGGAAATATTAGCATTACTGCTGAACGTTCCTCTGTTCTATTGGACAAATAAATTTAATTCTTCTGTATGGTTAATCTCTACAGGAAGTGTCAGTGAGATGTATTAAGTGGGCGGGTTCTGTTTGTATTGCTACCTATTTCAGCAAAGGTGCAGAGAAGCACACTGAATGTAGGCTAATGCTGATCACCAAGCCATAAGCTCCTCCCCGTGCAGCTGCTTCTACTCTGTTCAGCCCCTCCCCCAGGTTCTCCAAGAGGAGTATCAGATCAGTGTCACTGTCCTGCCCTTGACCCTGTTGATATGAAATCGGGGCAGGATGTGCCTGCCCTCATCTACCTCCCCTTGGCCCTGAGAAGACCTTCAAAGAGGAAGGATGGTTTTGTGGTTAAGGTTCTTGACTGAAACTCCAGGGGAGT